ACTCGCGACCGCATGCGCTACAGCACCATGCGCTCGATGTCGATGGAGAACAACCCATTGGTGCTTGGCACTTCCGCACTTGCCGCATCTTCCCTGCATGAACGAAGGCTTTCTCCGCACTTCGGCAACTGCCTTCGTGATCAGATCGCGCCATCCATGCCGATCAATCGCCTTCGATTCCCATGATCTGCAATCAAGATTAGAACGTGACTGACTCACTTTAATCATGTCCTGGTAACGTAACGTTGGTTTCCCCACATGCCGCCTCCCAATACTCTGCTGACCGTATAAGAGTTGTTTTGGTATCCGCGTCGAATCCATACGGCTCAGATGATCGATCCACCTTAGATGTCTCAGTAAAGGCATGCAGTCCACTACATACATCCCATTTCGTCGTAACACTTCCGTGTCAGCAACTCTGTCGTACCAACTGATGCGCAAAATTCGTCGCAAACACTGCTGCTGGAACCGCTCGACATATTTCTCATCCTGTCGGTACATCGACCACATTTCTCTGCCGTAGAGAAGAACGGAGAGCACCATGGATTTGGACACTATCAATTTCATGCCAATGGTAAGCTGATGGTTGTTCCACACTCGGTACTCTAGCTTCCCGAATGCCGTCGCTGCCTTCGACACGCGGATACGCAGCTCACTGTGTAGCTGCGTATCAGTCTACATCACACTCTCAAGGTAGCAGAAGCGTGAGGTGGTTTGCAACACTTCAGCACCAATGCTGATTCGCGGCAATATTGAAGATTGCACCTCCGGTGAAGGCTGAAAGAGACAGACAGTTTTGCTTGTGTTGATGGTGAGCCCGAATTTGGCCGCTGTCGAAGCCAGAGCACTAGTCATATGCTCCAACTCATCCGCACTGCGTGCAAACAACGCACAGTCGTCAGCAAACAGCAGCATACGGATAGTTGTCGCACAGACTAGAGTTCTCGCACCGAAACGACGGATGTTCAGCAACCCACCATCAATACGGTGCTCCACACGAACACTGTAAGCACAAGCGGCATCAAAAGCACAGGACAACATTGCATGAAGATAAACAGGGTAGGAGCTAAGACACAGCCTTGCTTCACACCAGAGACAACTGCAAAGTCATCCGACGTCTCTCCACTCAGCTGCACCCTCGCTCGCATATCACTGTGCAGACATTCAATTAAACTTACAAACTTACGCGGGCAACCAAACTTACCCAACACCAGCCACAATGCCTCGCGGTTCACCGTATCAAATGCCTTGGTGAAACCAACAAAATGCGAGCACAATGGCTGGTGTCGTTCTCTGCACTTCTCTTGCAACTGACGAGCCGCAAACACCATATCTATAGTGCTGCGACCCGAACGGAATCCACACTGCTCTTCCGCCACGTTAGGTTCCACAACCTGACTCACGAGGCGGTTGAGCAAGATTCGGGCAATCACCTTGCCCACACAACTCAACAAGTTGATGACAAGATAATTCGTGCAACATTGCTTGCTACCTTTGCCCTTGTACAGTGGTAGCACAACGGCATCCTTCAGCTCAGGAGGCACCTCCTTCTCAATCCATACGCGTTGCACCAAGTGGTGCAGCGCAGTCAACAACGCGGGTCCACCGTGTTTCAATACTTCAGGCGGGATCCCGTCGGCTCCGGCACGTTTGCCGTTTCGCAACTGAGCAAGTGCTCTCTGCGTTTCATCCAGTGTCGGCGTATCCGCCAGACTCGTCTTCATATCGTGCTTCTTCAGGTAGTTCAATGTAAGCCAGTCGATCTCCGAACGGTTGTTCAAGAGACAGTCAAAGTGTTTCCGCCAGATCTGCAGTCTGTGTGCAGGTAGCGCCTGAGCTACCATCGATCAGCGTCCTCAGCGGCTCCAACCTCTGTCCATACACTGCCTTCAAGGAGTCAAAGAATTCTTTGTGTTAGCGGCGTTCGGCGTAGCATCCCATCTGCTTCGCCTTCTCCGTCCACCATGCCTTGTTAATGCGACGGAGCTCTCGGGTCAGTCACCGTCGAAGTTTGCGGAACTGACTACTCTTCCCCAAGTCACTGGGGTCTGCGACATGTGCGGCAAATGCTGCATTCTTCTCCGACACCAACGCGCCAATCTTCGCATTGTTCTAGTGAAACCAATCAGGCCCCATACAGTTTGTGCGCCCGATGGCCTCCTCGGCAGCAGCTGTCACCTGGTCGCGAATGTGGTGCCACAGGTCGCCCACTGTGGCTATGCCTTCCACATCACACAGGCGTGCAGCCATCGCCTTCTCCAGCTCAGTACGTTTCGCCTAAGGGAGAGAATGTTAAATTTACGCCGATTCACCGCGGGTGAGCAATGCATAGATTTACGAAAATATATGAACAGTTTGATCCTCACCAATTTGTGATCAGTGCCACACTCAGCTACACGCAGTGCACGTGTCATGCGAAAATCACGCATAACACGCTGACGTACGATGACATAGTCGAGGAGGTGAGCGTGACCACTCCTTGGGTACGTCCAAGTTGCTATATCACTCGCACTCAGTAAAAACCGAGTGTTCGTGATCGTCAGGTCGTGGGTGACACACAATGAGAGCAGCCTGTCACCGTTCGCATTCGCTGAACCAATGCCATGCGCACCGATAACATCTGTCCACACCAATGCATCACGCCCAACGCGCGCGTTGAAGTCATCCAGCAGAAATAGTCGATCGCTCCTCGGCGCAGACCGTATCACGGAGGATAGCTGAGTGTAGAATTGATCACGCGTGTCATCAGGATAACCCATGGTCGGACCTTATGTGCTTATAAAAGTGGCAAACTTACCTCTTCCGAGTCGTAGGCGAACAGTCATCAGTCGCGCGCTGATGCCCGTTTGTTCACCCACCAATAGGCCATGGAGGCGATCGGATATTGCAAATCCGACCCCATGTTCACGTGGTGCTGAGGCGGCGTTGCCCACCCAGTAGAATGTGTAGCCAGCACCTGTTTCATGTAACTTACCTTGCTCAACGAGCCGAGTTTCACTGAGCGCCGCAATATCGATGTGGTAGCGCGCCAGCTCCATTGCGACCAGTGCAGTGCGTCGCTCGGGGCGATCACTCGAGTTCCGGTCCAGTAGTGTGCGCACGTTCCAGCACGCGATGCTGAGTGCTTTGCGCGCAGGCATACGATTGCATTGGTGGGCAGTCGGACGCGAGGTGGTCGTTGTGCTTCGGAGGTTTGCTTGAGTGACTCCACCCGGAGCCTTTGGCTTAATAGGCTGACTCACAAGGCAGTGGTTTGTTTTGAGGTTTGCTTGCGAGACTCCGCCCGGAGCCTTTGGCTCAATAGCCTGACCCACAAGGCAGTGGGGAGCAGATCCAGCTCGTGAATGTGATTCTAGGGACAGGTTTTGATCTTCTTGACGCAGCCTTTGAGGTTCTGGAACAATTATCATATGTTTTGCGACCGTAGTAGGGTACGCACCTGCGACCACGGCCAGACGCAGGTGGGTTTTGGCGGGTTTGCACCAATTTGACCAGGGGCTGTCTGGCTTGAGGCGGGCAGTAGCAAACCATTGAACACCCGGAGGTGTCCTCCCACCGTCAGAGACAATGCGTGGCATTCGTGCTCTACGCCAATCGAGCTGTGAGCTTATAACCCGTAAACCTGTTGTCTCCCATGGCTAGGTTTTACGGGAAGAGGGCAATCGACCACTTCCTAACCTCTGAAGAGGATGGACTAGGATACTGGCAGGGCGCCCACACCTGACAGGAGAACGACTCGGGTCCTCAGCCAAAGGCTTCGATTAAATGAACACCCGAAAGGCAGCGGGTCTAGCATATGGTCTGTGCACTGACTCATGCGGATTGGTGTCCTGAATCTTAGCAGGGAGAAGGGCGAAACCCAACTCCCACCCAGCGGTCGCCACGAGGAGGTGCCCAGGACATGAGCAAATAGCGCAACAGTAGCCGCAGTGGGTAGACCATCTGTCAGGATCTAGCCACCACCAGCCTCAGCGGACCATTGGCTCTCCCGCCTATATATATATATATATATATATATATATATATATATATATATATATATATATATATATATATATATATATATATATATATATATATATATGGTGCTGCGCTTGTATGTCTTGAGGAAAGGTTTTTTTACCGGAGTCATAAGCAGCATGGAACTGGATTGCGGGACGATTTACATGCACTTGGAAATGCCAGGATGCATGTAGCTTAACAATTTGCGCTTGCATCGCAATTCCGTACCATCAGCTTACGGTTCTTTCCAAGTAGCGAACAAAGATGACATGTGCTGGCCAACGGTGTCTGAATAGACTGCTTTCTATAGGCCACATGTACGAAGGAAACTGTCCAACCGAAGATTATGGCACAACGGTGTGGGCTAAACAGAAACACACTATGTTTCAGTTATTAGTAAACCTTATGTGTGCTCAATCGTTTATATGTTCCAATGATTTGAGGTCACTGTTGGTACTTTAGCATAGTGTCGCATGTAACCACCATGGGCTGGTTCACGCTAGTGTTCAAACACTGTACCGTCACCGACGATACGTGTAGTGAAATGTAAATTGTAGCTTGTCTTGTATTCCGTACATTTTCAGGCAAATTGTAGTACATTCGGCCGTGGTAACCCCTAGTGTAGATGATTTATGTACATGGGATATACAAATAGCCGTTATGGAAGGTCGGTTTATGCAACAGCTCGCACGCGCACACTGATCTTATCCTCGAGAGAAAGCTCATTCTAAAGAGTGTCTTTTTGACGGGAAACAGAATAACCGGCATTAATTTTATGGCTTTTGTTTAATTTATGCTCATATATGTGTATATTCTTAGTGCAATTTACCGAATGACTTATTTCCAACTAATTATCTGTTTTGAGCAAATATAACTTTAAACATATTTCCCACTCAATTCTCGATATTTTTTTCTGCCGTACTATGTTCAATGCCAGTTGCCGATGGCAAATCGTTTGCTATTCACCCACACCGTTCCTACGTCTGCATTGGTTTCAGACTTTTGAACTTGTGAAGGAGAATTGTGCGAACCTTCTTGACCGTGATCCAGCGTCCATGATCCCCTACGCAGATGAAGTCTCTGCCACTGTGACCGACTCTTCAAGACCCGATTTAAGATCTTTACTGGAGACTCGGGAACAGCTCTCAATTCGTTATAAAGAAGTCACCGCTGAGTTGGAAAATCTCAAGCACATCATCACAGGAGCCATATGGGATCTCAATGACCTCATGGATCCCATGATCGTCGGACAGTGACGTCATTTCATCGCAATCTCCCGTTTGTTTTTCTGACTGAGTAGCGCAGTGATCTATGATGCCTTCTGTCACATGAATTTGTGTACGCCTATCAGCGACGTTTTTGAAAGATTTTCGCTTTTTATTCTATCATGTTTTCATTTTCACTGTGTTCATCGGTGTAAAATTTAATTAAGGCTCAGCTATATTAGTTTTTCATAATTCGAGCACTGATGTCCGACAGCTCCAGGCACCATGTGACCCACATTACCATGGCTGAGAGCGGTAATGATAGGTGTATAATGATAACGGCAGTAATCTAATAGGGTGGTGGTGGACAGATCAAATCGGGCAGATGCTCGTCGCAATGAAACAAGGTTCTGTCGTGGTGTGATATTGACGTTCCGGTGTACAGTCAAACAGCATCCGACTGTCTCTTTTTCATTTTACTGTCCGTCTGGTTACCAGTGACTGAACCATGACATCCGGATACCCACTTGTGCGCTGACCTCGCATCGACTTAGATTAGGTCTGGGTCCGACCTGCGGAACGTTATGTGAACACCGGATATAATTTGGCTACGGTATGAAGTATGCCAGTTACTTTACGTCGTTTCACTTAGGGCCGGATTATGGGTGATGTACTGTGTGCTTAGGACGTTATCTAAATAATTGTGCTTTTAGTTTCAATTTTAAGCTGTTTCTGTTCTTCACACATCCACTTAGGTCTTTCGTTCCATCTGCTTTTCTGGTACGTTATGAGTAGGGTCGGTGGAGTGTACCGCGATACCTTGTACAAGTTTCCTTTTACGGTGCTGGATTTGATCCCTGAATGGGCTCTCGACCAATACAATCACCGTAAGCATCTGTTTGAATTTAATGTGGAGCGAGGTACCCTACTTCTCACAAGGAAAGAGCTGTAGACTGAACCAGCGAATCGAATTGCTCTGGAGATGTTTGACACATTGTTGGATTATTTCGGACATAGGTCCACAGTGTATCCAAATCTGATATATTAACTCTCAGGTTATAACGAAGATACGACCGGAAAGCAATTGCAGACGCTTCTCCGGCCTGTTACGGAACGAGAAATAGCTACAACTGCCGACATGTCTTCTGTCACCGGCCACCATGCATCACTTCGTCCCATCTTTTGGGCTACACACATAATCTCCAGAAGTGTGCGTGGAGGAACAGCATCTCATCCAGAGAGTATCGAAAATTCACTGTTTCCATAATGTTCGCTTTTATCAGTCACAACCGGTATGGTAGCTTTATTGGGCTTTCCTATGACGCGTTGCTCGGACTATGTAGGAGAAATTCCACGGAATTATACTTTTCAGGGAGATATATAGAGGAAGTGGCTTTTATGCCATCTAATTGATCACCCAAGGCTCCCTTTTGACTCCAAACTACGTTGTTTAGTTTCTATTGTTATGGCCGTGATGTTGGAGCAAAGTAGTATAGGTCTAGGCTTGCTTCTATAGCCTACACGGAAGACCGTTTTCACCTTAGTTAGAAATCTAGGAATCCGCGTCCTGCCAGTACCCTACTAACCCGCAAGGACGATATTTGTAAATGAACCCTTACGGCAGTACAATGCCTCCACCGAACACAGAAAAAATCTTTTGCGAGATACGTGTTCGATGTTGGTAGCAGTAATGCACCGGATTATTTGGTACTCTGGATAGAAGTTTTCGTCACAATAAACACTACTAACAATAAAGCAGTGTCGACCTACCTTACGTTCGATTTGTTAAGGCCTATCGAATCATCGGGGGTAGGTGCGGCTAATAAACCTAAACCGAAAACGGCGCATAGGACCCGATAAACTTACGGTTGACATTTTGTCTATCCATACTCTTGAGTTTTTGGCATACATTGCAAAGCTAATGCTTTCCCTCGAATTGCCTTCACAGTATCTCTCGCTCGCGCATCTCCTTTGAGCCTAGAACCGCAAATCCTACACGCCCAGGGGAATACAGACTGATAGCTGTTGCTTCGGTTATCTTATGTATACTACACATGATGAGACGCCCACTCTAACTCTTTTCGACTTCGCTTTCTGAAGTGGGATTGAAAACTCCTATGCATTCCACAGTATACTCCCAGTACGTGGGGTCGTTTCTCGATGTCATAAATGGATTTAACACGGTTTCGCATGACAAGATTACGCTTGCGACCATTCGAACTGAGACGTCTCAACTGCTATTTCGTTGTTCCACTCGACTGTATACAAACTATGAGGAGTTGTTAATTGGCACAACGCCCAGGTGTTGCCGTCGTGAGAGACAAAGTGGGTTTTTGTCACAGTAATGGATGAAGTTCTCAGTTACACCCGATCAAACGAAGGATTCAGATTCAACAACAAGAACGAAAATGCGTTAGCCTATGTTGACGACTTAGTACTGTTTGCGAATGATGATTTCGACATATAGGACAAACTGCAACGTTTGTAATTTGGATCAGATTTGGCCCGCATGAAGCGAAATACAGCCAATTCCCGTGCTATGATAACTAAAATATGAGTTTCCAAGCATCTTGTTCTTCTCCGTAGGGCATATAAGCATACTAGTGTCGTGATCGATTTTCTGCTTATGCACATATGTTCCATCAGACATTTACAAACGATGCGATCGAACAACACTGTCGCCACTGATGTCCATTGCGCGCCATAGCCTCCAGCAGTTCTAACGAGTCGTGTGGTCCCCATCCCTTAAGGCGGACCTGTCCGACGGATGCTAAAATTGAGATTGCCTTCTTCATGCTCATTGCTTGTCCACCGCCTCACTTTCCAGGGAGCGCAAATAACCTTCGATAAAGAAGGCTGGCATGCGTAATACATGGCCGACCCAACGCATGCGGTGTCGGTGAATAACGTTTTGGAGGTCTGCGTTGTTTATTCCAAGTACTCGATCTCGGATTTCTGTGTTGCTTACGTGATGTTGCCACCACACACGTGCAATCCTACGCAGATAACGATTGTCGAAACTGACAATGGCTTCATGTCTTCCGAGCGAATAGGCCAGGTCTCACAGCCGTACAAGAGGACTCAATGGACATACGCAATATACATCCTACCGTTCAGTTTGATATTCACATCGCAACGACGACATAAGTGTCTCAGTCTGAAGAATGCAAGGTGGACCATTGCGATCCGTTGTGGTATCTCATCTCTAACACTGCTGCCAGCCGCGATGCAACTTCTTTGATAAGTAAGGCAGGGAACTTGTTCCAGAATGTCAGCAGCTATGGGGAGCGCCGGCACAGGCATTTGCTTATCATGGCGTAGTATTTTACATCTTCCTGGGGTGAAATACAGGCCTTACCTAGACGCCTCAATCGCTAAACAGTTCAAAGCGGTCTGCACGGCTTGTAGATCTTCTCCAAGCATAGCGATCTCATCGACGTAGTCCAAATCCGCGACCCTGTCGCCTGGGAGTAATTCATTATCGCAGTTTTGAATGCCTCCTAATGCTCGTTGGACGACATCTTCGATGACAAATGGAAAAAAATTAAGTATGGCATTCTTAGCGAACGCAGTTGGTCATATCAAAGTAAGCTTTTTGTATGCAGATGGCTATATTTTCGACACTTTACAGTATCGACTACGGATTGGCTAAAATTACATCACCAGAACTGCAAATTTGTATGAGTGTAAAATAAGATACTGTGTACAAGAGTCACTTGAATAAACGGCCAATAAAAGCGAGCAACTATTACACATTACCGGACAGAATAATCTAAATCCGCATTCTGTTGACAGGCCAGCGTTGCAAGGTAGATTTTCAATCGGAGCGATCCATCTTCAAGTGCGCAGTGGCCCGAGTTTTTTCTCAAAAAGCAGACGAGGGACAGTATTGGTGAGTTTCTAAATATTTCGCAAAGCTCATTGCTGAAATATTCCGATAAAACTAATGTATCCGTGGTGATATTGTAAAAACGATGTTCAGTACAAACTGCAACGCCCTGTTTCAAGACCCCGCCCTGGTGACAGCAAATGGAGAGCAAATCCTGCTCTAAATCCTAATTTTGTCCGGCGTGTGGCTGTAGAGTTCCTTCAGGATGGTTCTAAACTTGTCAGGCATACCTTTCCTTCGTAGACAGTTTCACAACACTGATCCATCTACTGTCAAATGCCGCTCGGATGTCCATGAACACGACAATTGTTGGCCGTTGGTGGACGTGACGGAGTTCAAGCAGTTGGCGGAGTGTGAACATTTGGTCGATTCAACCTCTGCTAGGACGAAAACCTGCTTGTTCCTTTTGGGGAACGTCCTCCTTAATCGCCGAAAATCTGTGGAGTTGGATAGACACGAAAATCTTGGACGCAACATAGATTAATGAAATTCCGCGGTAATTGGCGCACTCCTCACGGGAGCCTTTCTTGCGAGTCGGGACCGATTCCCGCTATGCATTGGGGACTTTCTCGTCAGTCTAAATCTTCGTGAACTGTGACAGGATTTCGCTAATAAGTGTATTCCCTCCATCTTTGAATACAACCTGGTGGTAGACTGTCAGAGCCAGGAGCGTTTTGAAGTTTCAGAGACTGGATTGCGCTCCCGATCTATGCTTCCGTAGAAGGATCTGTGGGGACAAGCCAAGCACCATCCGAGGGAGACGAAGATGTCACAGTGGGCTGTGCTTGGTAGTTTAATTGGAAAGCAAAATGCTGTGCCCTGCAACCCAAGCGTCTGTGTAAGTTGGTCATTTTCGTGCCATCTGATTCACAAATTGTCTGACTGCTAACATGTGAATTGCGACCAGTGGTCCTGATGAGGTAAAGTAAACTGCGGAATTTTGCAGCCGATACAGTGGCTTCCATATCAGCAGCTTGTTTTGATGACCAGGATTCACGGCCAGAGCGAAGGCTTGACGTCAGCTGTTGAGAGATGGACCGACGGAGTTCATTGTGCTCCGCACCGGCGGACACAGTCCGTCGGCGTTCTAGCAATTCCGAGGATCTTACCGAAATCTAGCTTTTCTCTGTATAGCAGGTGAGCCTGAAACTGGGCAAGTTGGCAGACAGCATGACTTTTTGCAAACTTGACCAATGTCGATCGATATCCAGAGAAGGGGAGAGAATA